CACCTCAGCACTGACACACGTCTCTCCCCAGGTTGTGTTAAGGATGGCAGGAGCACTCAGGATTGTGCGTGCGTGCGTGCGTGCGTGCGTGCGTGCGTGGAGAGACCTTTTTCTAACCTAACTGCATGAAGTAGTATATGTGTATGTGTGGGCACAAGTGTGGGAGGTGTGAGTGTAGTGAAGAGTGTGTGTGTGATGCGTGGGAGGTACATGTGTACACTTTGATGTAGGGTAGTCACACACACATGCAAGGATATATTGGTTGCTTTGTGTGGCTGTCACATGTTAAGTCCATGTTTGTTTGACTTGTTATTGTCACCGCTTTATACTTTCCCGTAATTGTCAATACCCATTATTGTGTGTGTGTGTGTGTGTGTGTGTGTGTGTGTGTGTGTGTGTGTGTGTGTGTGTGTGTGTGTGTGTGAATATCTGTGTGACTGGTAAACCGGAGAAACTCTTTATCTGCGGGATCAGACAAAGATTTGGATGAAAACGTTTCCAGCTGTAAACACAGTAACTACACATGGCAGGAAAGGAAACCCTCAACAACCAAAGTCATACCGATTAACCTAAAGTCTAAATTGTACGTAATAAATATTGTTTCTGTAGTCAGCTTTATATATTTATATTCATTCAGTACGTTTAACACAAAGATACAACTGAATCCCCTCTCTTTAAAGCATTTTACCAAGCTTTTAATGACACATAACTACAGTTAAAGGCGGCTTATAACTCTCCAGTGTGTGGAATATTGGGTACCACTTTACAATAAGACTACCCTTATAAAGGATTCATAAAGGGTTTATAATTAGGTTATGAATTAGGTTGTAAACACTTTATTAATCATTAAGAACCATTTATAAACCAGTTACATATAAACCTATATATCAACACAGGCTCACTATTTGGCAAGATGACTAAGCCTTATATTGGCTACTTAGCGAGAATCAACTCAGTGAGCAACAGATACCAAGGATGCTGGCTGATGAAGAAGACGAAGTAAGCTAAGTAGCCAATATAAGACTTAGCAGTACAGATACATGTGGGCTCACTATTTGGCAAGCAACCGGTCACAGTTGCCCTGTTTATCTCATGTCTTATAAAAGCTTATTAATGATTTATAAAGTGTTCACAACCTAATTAATAAATGAATTACAAACTATTCGTAAACCCTTTATAAGGGTAGTCTTACTGTAAAGTGGTACTGAATATTGTCTGCATGTGTGTGGGTGTGCGTTTGTCCTTCAAACCATCATGGAGTGTAGCTGCTGAAGCTAATAGCCCAAAAGCTTCATCCTGAATGTAATAACAAAGCGAAGCAGTGGAGAGTTCTGCTCCGTCCCCTGAGAGGTGGGAGGAGGAGGAGAATGGGAGCGCAACACAATGAAAAAGCTGGATGACGCAGCTGAGAAGGGAAAAGGGACGGAGGAATGGATGGAGCAGAATCCTAAACGAGGAGAAGAGGAAGAAGAAGAGGAGGAAGAGGAGGGTGAGGAGGCGTTGGAGAGAGGGAGCGTGGGCAGACTGTGTGGGCAGGAGATGCTGCATAATCAGCTTTCTAGGGTTTTCTCCGGTTCTTTTTCTCTTTACTTTTTCCACTTTTCTTTTTTGTAGCAGCCCATTAATTTGTGACAGCCCGATCTGTGTCTGCCTCACTGTCTTCACATCTTCTTGTCTTAATTTTCACTGTCCCCCTCATTTCCTCGATGACTCACTCAGCAGCAAACACTTTAATAGTGTTCTTCTCCTTGATTTGATTTGAGTATGAAAAATCCATTGCCTCTCACAAATATATCCACAGACTCCAGATATCTGATGTAATTACCATCATTGTTCTTATAATGAACATGAGCTGCTCCTATTTTATGAATCATGTACCAAAATAAACACTAGTACTTGTCTTGGCACTATTTCCCTCCAATATACAAAGCAACACTAGTAGTAAAAACAATTTTTTTTTTAGCTTTATGGCTGTCTAACACACAGCTTAGGTCTGCTCTGTTAACATTATTTCACACTTATCAGCCTTTGGCATCACATTTTCTTTCGCCGACCATAATAAGTGAGAAATACAATAGCCGCTTAATCATGAGCAGAGAGGAACCCGGTGAGTCATCGACAGCTCTCGCACATTCAAACAACGCCTGGAGTTAAAAGGAAATCTGGTGAGGGAGAGGAGGGGAAATGTGTGGGTGGAGGGGGGACGGGGGAGGAGCTGGTGATGCTGGTGAGGAGGGAGGGAGGGAGGCAAAGGGTTTTCCTTTCAGAAACATCCCTGAATGCAGTCCTCTGATGTTGAAGGCAGAAGAGGAGGGGAAGTGGAGGGGATTGCAAATGAGTGTGTAAGATAGTGCAATGTGTTTGTGTAGGTGTGTGAAGAAGGGCACAGCAGCACCACCATCCCTTTCTGTGGCATGAGCAACAGTTTAGTTGTGAATGGACTGAATAAGTCACTGTGTTTATTTAGTGAAGTGTAACTGCACCAAGCTGTAAGACACCATCAGGATCAGAAACTGGTTTATTACCAGGTTGACACGTACGAGGAATTTGACTAGTGTCGTGGTGCATACATACAAGTAAAAAAAAAAACACAGATAGAGAACTATAAGAAAACTATAATAACATTACAAATAATAAAAAATATAGTAAAATATATACACATACATAAAATATGTGCAGTAATAATGTAAAAAAAACATGACAGCTGAAGCATTTCAGTAACATCTGTATTCATGGGGTTTTGTGTTTTGCAGCTCGTATTTTTCTGCAAGAGTCTCCCAGTGGCAAAAAATCAACATCAGTTTTCATGCTAACACGGAAAACCAGCCATGCGTTTACAAAGCAGCTAGACTAAGAAGTGGTAGGGAAGGATCCTCTGCAGTCAAAACACCAGTCCACACACACACAGTACAACCGCTGGCCTTATCCCAATTACAAAACTCAACCGTAAAGTCTGCAAGGGCTTTCAAATCGGCCGTTGGAGACATTTTATACACACTTTCAGTAAGAGTACGTTTCAGCAGATTTTGCGTGAGGGAACTTCCCCACAGAGTTCATAGCGTTGTGATGTGGGATTATTAGGTGAAGCCCAAAAGCAATACTTATATTAATAAATACAAATAAATTGATAATTTGACAATTATGTCTTCATCACATTGTAAAGCAGAGGTAAGCAGTCGATGCTTAAAGTGCTTGAAGAAAGAAAACACATCAAATGAAAAGTCCCAATCCTACTCTGGTGATTAACGTGTTCAGATGTTGTCAAGGTAACCTGGTTTGTTGCAAAGTGCTGTCTTATTCCTATTTATATCAGCCTCTCTTCACTTACCAGGTGACTTTAATTAAGTCCCTGAGTGTTTAACTGGTTTTTGGGACCGGGCCATTGATTCTATCTGATAGTCTTTCCCTTGCTTCTGTAACCCATAACAACATGTCATTTAGCCTCAGTCCCTCATAATAAATATGTTTTAAGACAAACTGGCCTTCCACACAGGCACTCGCTTTTTGGAGTTGTAACCTTTATGACTGTCACAAAGTGAAATAACAATAATATTTTCTCTGTTCACACAGAACTTCTAGCATGACTGTCACATGATTTTCATCATATCACCCAAAACTACATTTTCCAACTTTTTAGCTGCAGTTCTGTCTTTGTCTGTCTGTGTCTATCCTGCTTGTATTACAAAGAAGTGAACAAACTCACCATGGACCCTCGACTAGCCCATGGACCCGTCTCCATTGTAAAGCTTAGGCCTGTAACATGCTACTGTCTAAATGTTGTTTGATAAAAGCCAATCACAACAGAAAACAACAGAATAAACAACAATATGTGTATTTTGTCACATTATCTTAATGCATACTATTGCCATTTTTGTGTGAAAAGGCTATGTTCCCAGACTGGATTTATAGTTATGTATTTCAAATGTTAAAGAGATTTTAGCTGAATCTGTGCATGAGGCATGTTGGAGCCACATTTTTTTTGTTGGACCCCTGTTCCTTTCAAGTTACCATCAAGTACAGTTCACACCGAAGGGGGGGGGAACAGCCTACTCTGTTTTTTTCAACACTGCACAGATAATGACGTACCGGCAATACTGAAGGAGCCCCCTCTACACATTCCCCATTGGCTGAGTGTTGAGGTGTTTTGCCCTGCGATTGGTTGACAGACAATAAAAGGGATAGAGGTAATGCACACCATGATGCAAAACATTGAAACACACCCAGAGGACAAGGAGGTCCCCCACCCTCCACGGAATGAGTGTAGTCCACCCTGCAGTCTGTCAGTATGATGTGTATTGAATCAGTAGACTGACAGTGATTTCAGTGAGGAAAATACATTTGCTCTTATGGAAAAGAAAAATGTTCCGTGTGGAGAAATTCCATTTAATGATGTAGTTTAGGGCAGAGAAAAAAACGGACTTAGCTCTGTCTACCAAATGTTTTTAATAGTCAAGCCTTTTTCTTATTGCCTAGTCTCGTTTTCTATTCTATGTTGATTTTAGAATATGTTATGATTGGTGATAGTAGCTAGTATTTTATTCACAGGAACATGATTATAATTCAGCTCCGACATATTTTACAAGTGTGTATTCTGTATTTGTGACTGCATTGGAAGCAGCAGTTATCACCTCCTTATTCACCAACACTTCACTTTGCTCCTCCTTACTTTTATTTATCGCCAGTGCGATAGCATGGCAGTATTTCTTCTGTATTATAAAATAATGGCCCTGCAGCTCAAGGCGCAGTTCAGTGAGACAGATTATAAGGTTGTTCTTTTTAGAAATCAGACATTTGAGACGTTCCCTTTGTAGATGGCAGGTTGGATTTGACTTTTCTTTCCAATTAATCTGTCGGGGCTGAGGAGAGGCAAGAAATCAATAGGAACCTATAAGCAACAGAGAAAAATGAAATGAGATTCTTGAGCGGGGAACCTTATCTGGGATCTGTTCCCACGCCATGATTAACAACCATTCCCTTGGAATAAAGCAAGTTACAAACACTTTTGCTTCATTCATTTATTCACAGATTGGAAAACAATCCTAAAATAACACTTTTTTTTAAATATAATTTGGTCCCTCAAGGCTCAATACATTTGGATCAACAAAAGCAAAGTTGTTAAGAAAGCTCATCTTTTTTTTTTCCTTTGAGAAATTAAGCGATTTACTAACAAGCAAGGAATACAGAAATACTTCTATTTTCAAGAGATAAATCTCACAAAATCTCATCAGTTACAGCATTCTAGCATGACTCTCAAAAGTACAAAATCTCTAGGTCATACCAATGTTTCGGCTTCTGCCTTTTACCAAAGGATCAGTAACTCAAGGTAAATCTTGTACCGTAAGTCTAAGAAAACATAAGGATTTCTATACTAAAATGTTAACTCTCATGCAGACCTACACACAGCATCGATGCATTGACAGGCTACTGGTTAGTTTACAAACACCATTTACCACAGTGTCTCCAGGTACACAGCATCTGTCTAAACCTAATAAAGGACATCCATTTAGTCTAGCTCCTGTGACATTGTGCTTGTATACACAGCAATCTTTGTACACATGTACGGAAAATCACCCCGTATGGCAAATTCCTTTAGACTGTTGTGTTTGATTCAGCTCGAAGACATTCTAGTTTTATATCTGTGGGAAATGAAGCTGTATTCCACTTTCTCTGCGGAGTAATTTTTATCATCAGGGAGGCATCAGCTCCATTATATCAGAGGGGGGGATTTAATTTCCTTTCTGCTGATTAGCGCTGGCATAACCATTTTTGATTGCACAAAATTGTGCCTGAGCACATTGTGTTTCTTCATGGTGAAATAATGTGTGTCGGAGGGGAGCCTGCGTGAAGGAAAAGGAGAGATCCAAAGACAAATCACTTTCTACTCCTTATTTGAGTTCACCTTCTTTCATCTCAGTCACTGCCCTCCTAATGAGGAACGCAGCATCTGCACTTAGCCACAAGAGGAGACTCCTGTCACACTGTCAGGAGAGATCTAATCTATGCAGGCTGGGAAGGAGCATCATCACACCCAGACAAAGAGAGGCGGATAATGTTTTTCTCCCCTGATTTTCTATGCAGTGATTTCAATTTACTGCATGGTAATAGCCTCAAACAACGAGGAAGGGGAGGCAGGGGGATGAAAGGTGGAAATCCTTCTCGTTTTGATTAGTATTCAACACCATCTTCAGCAGTGGCTCCCCTCCCCGCACGTGGGAGAAACGGAAAGCCCAACAGCCCCTCTGAGATCGACGTTTTATGAGCGAGAATCAACCTGCTGCTACTGCTGAGGATGTAAAAACTAAGATCTGTGAGCAAAAGTGGGTTTTCAACATCATTCTTTGCCCACAGAACATAATCTGTTATTGGGGTTTCATTTGAGTGGCAGTAGTGGTTTGTTTTCAATCGCACAGAGGAAGCCAAAAAAGAGAAAGAAAACAAACCAAGTGGACCTAACAACAAACAACATCTTTGTTCAGCCTGGTTTTATAAGCTGGCAGGAAGTGAAGTCCTCGGCCCCCGAGGGAGGCATCTACTTCACTGTCAACTTTCTCAGGAGAAGAGGGAGAGGAGGAGAAAACAAGAATGTCAGATGCGGATAAATGAAGACTGTTCTGTGAGCCCCATGCACAAGAAAGCATGCCTTTCTTACAAATTGACAACAAATGTCTGTGAGGGCAGCCATCTTGTTTAAAAGCTGTAATGTAACTGCTCGCCTCATGTCAGTGATGCCTAAAGCACTAAGAGTCATAGTTCATGGAGATTAATGTCATCTCTGTGACTGATGAAGATCATACCCAAGTGCAAGTGGCTGTCTGGTTTGTTAAGTCCTAACCTGTCCTCTTCAGACCAGCCAATCAGTTTACATTGTCATTTCAGCAATGCATGTACCAAAATATATATTACAACTTATTCAACAGTTTTCACATAGCTTAGAAGTATTTTCAGTCAAAAACAACCAACATCATGACAAGTCAGACACTTAATGAAGACAAAAGTGACACTTTGTTAACTTTCCTGGCATTTTCTAACTGTATTATGTGTATATATCTAAACCAATGGTTCCCAACCTTTTCAGCTACCCCTTAAATCAAGTAAAGTCTAGTTTTGAATCAAAATTCACTTAACAACCTTTTCAAACAATGGGGATAAGCATCAACCAATCAGAGCTTTGTAGGCGGGATAAAGAATGGGGATGTCATCTTCCAACAATGCTAGATAACTAACTACTTTAAAAAAATAAAAAAAACATGGCCACAAGCATGGAAGAGTTTGACAAAGCTGGACAGGTTGCTGTAAACCAACTTATGGAAATAACAACTTGTCGAAATATATTTAATAAATCAATGTTTAGTGTGCCTAGAAATTGCTATCATGGCTTCCAGACTGACTTAAAATGGCCTTAACTGCTCATTGCCTAGGACAAAACCAAACAATATAAAAATAAATATAATTCAGTGTAAATATAAATAACTTAAATTATCTCAGACTTCTCTTAAGACCGCCACTGGTTAGGAACTACTGATCTAAACAGCTTGTGTGATCAGCTAGTGTATCTCACAAGACTTAATTAACATCAATGGAGTCATTTTTATCTCATGAATAGTGATAAACATACTTATTTTCCACCAATGCATGATCATGGGACCAGCTGTTGCGTCCAGATCTCTAGGTTTCTACTCATCTAATAGCACCTGGTTTCACAGTGGATCAACAAGTACAGAAGCCATGTTGGCCCTCAGCTTCACTTATTAATACTGGAGAGCAGAGACAAGAAGGCAGCAGTAGAGACAGAAACAATCAATGAACACAACTGTTACTAATAGATTTTTTTTGATAAGTTAGCTTGGCAACATTGAACATTAAATGACAGCAGATATGAAGACAGACAGACATTTCCATTGTGTGTTTATGGGTCTGGATCACACCATTCTAAACTGAGTCGGGACAAATCAAACAAAGCTGTTTCAGCAGGAGTGACGAGGAGGGCGACTGGAGCCCTGCTACACTGGGCTGTGGTCCGGAGAAGTGTGTGTGGCCGTCACCGTCACACACTCAGCGGCTGTGTCCCTGGCCCTGCGCAGGCCCATATACAGCCTCTCGCCCAGGTTAGCAGTCAGTTTGTCCGTGAGCTCTGCTGTGATGGTCTGCGGGCCGTGGCCTGGGGAGTCGGGCGCCTGAAGGAGCCAGAGCTCGTCCGGGGGATCAGGAGGGAGGTCGTGGTGCTCAACCTGCCCTCCATCTTGCTCTGAGAGGGAGAGATCACAAGGTGGTGGAGAAGAGGATGTGATTTCGGTGACACCCTGCTCCCTGTTTTTCCTGTCGGGTGTGCTGCCCGTCCTGTCGCTGGCCTCCTCGTCGGGAGCGCTGACGATGCGGGGGAGTGTGCTGTGGTAGCTCGTGTCCAGAGGGTAGTTCACACTGTCCCCCCTCCGTAGCGGGGTTCTCTGTTTTTCAAAAGAGGTCTGGAAGTACCTAACTCCCGGGTCGCTCCACTGCTTGTGCCGCTGCCACTGCTTGCGGAGGTGAATCCGTGAGCGGTGCTTCCTCTGCGGCGACTCCTGCTGGTCAAACTGAGGGTCGTGACGGAGGAACTCGTGGAAGAGGGCGTCCGTCTTCTCATCTATGCTGTAGTCTCGCCGCATCAGCATTAGTGGTTGAGGCGAAGGCGTTGCAGCCTCTCGAGGTGTGAGAATCTGACCGTACGGTAACCAGCTAAGTGAACTAGCACCTGTTTCTATGGAAACTCCTCCACTGGCACCCAACAAGCTCTCATCCTCCGGTTCCTCCTCAAAGTGGTGAGACTCAAAGCTCTCACCGATAGTGCCACTTCGCCCTGCGCTGGTAAAGTGGTGCCTTTTCTCGTGGGCTGTTCTGTCCTTCGGGCTGCTGCTGGCGCTCCCAAACAGTCGCAAGTCTTCTGGACCGCGACACGGAGCCTCTATCGACGTGTAGCCGCTGTCCATCTGCAGCAGTTTACGAGTCGATGTTTCTCCATCGCTGCTCCCTCGCTCTGAGTCTGTGCTTCCCTGTTTCCTCTTTCTTCCCTCTTTCACCTCCAACCTCTCATCAATAAACATTGAAATGTCCTCTGCCTCATCCCCTAACTCCTGGGACGGGTATCTGGGGAGCCCTCCTCTCTCTGTGCGCCCCCCCCAGAGAACACACACTCTCCACATCGCTGCAGACGGAGTTCCTGTCGTTGTTGCTGCTGTGGTCGGAGGCGGCGTATTTTTCCAGTGTTGCACGAAGGCTCCAGATGTCTTTGTAAAGGGACTGGGGTTCCTGGGGATCTGGGGGGTCCAGAGGGTCTGCACCTTCCCTTCTTGATAGGGACAGTGCTTCATCCTGGGGATCAGGGGATAGGCCAATCACCCCTGGTCCGCCATGGCTGCAGCTGGCCTCCACCATCACTTCCACCTCTACCCTGTAGTGTGCACACAGGTGTGGAGAGATAAAATGAAGATAGTAAGGAGAGAAGGAAGGGGAGAAACACACACATTCGCAAAAACAACTGTCAGTGTCGGAGCATTTGCCTGAATATCACAATCAGCTGACACATGGCTGTGTTCACAGTGCACACAATGGTTTTCATGACTTGCAATGGCTGCTGTTGCATGTCCTTAAACTGAATACTGATGCCATGCATGACCATACTTTCCTAGAAATCCCTTGCTTTCATTATAGTCAGCAGATTTAAAGAACACAAGTTATATCAGTAGCAATACAATCAACAATAATCGTCTGCAAAAAAAACACAGGAAATGCTGCTTTTGTTTAAAATAACATTTCGTAAAGGGAAATAAACATTATATAAGAAAGTACTTTAGGAAACTGGTTATTTTCGCTGCATAACCCTATATTGAGCTAAACTCCATTGCTTGAATTGCGCTCTTAAAATAACTGAATTGCAGTGACCTTTGCGGTCTTTCGACATCATGACATTATCAGATCATGTCAGCGGTGGAATGATTTCCTATGCCAAAATAAACTCTGCGTCCCGATTCTCCACTTCAATCTCTAAAAGAAATGCACTCTGGGAATCCCCTGGCTCCAAATCATTCAAGTGGTTCTTGTTTACAGGGATCTCACTACACACAGATAAGCCTGTGTTGGATTACAATTACACAGCATGTTGTGTTTGAATGTAGATTCATGTGATAACAATAACAATTTAAAACTCGCAGTTTTAAACATGATTTCCTAAATTTAAAATAGAAATATAACCTAACCTTCAATCGTTTGGATACTGATAGTTTACATTTGCACATCAACTGGCTTGTCAAAACAACCACTTTGATTTATTTTGCAATGGTGTTTTATTGAGATTATAAAGGGGACCCTTTTATGTACGGGAAAAGTGTTGAAGAATTGGGACTTAGAGCTTTATCTAACGGTGTAATATCGTTATCATAATACATTTTTCTAGCTAGGGTAAAGAAATGAGTGCAAGGCAGCAAAGCAGTGAACAGGATGAATGGCAAGGGAATTAAAGATACCTGCCGAGGGAGGGGGGTGGTGTGGAAGGAGGTGAGAGGAGGCGTGTGGTGGGGTGGCTGCTGGGACAGTAGGGGAGGTCCTGGGTGCGGGCGATGTACTGGATGAGGTCTATGTGGTGTGCGTCGTTGTCCTCCTGGTCCATGCTCTCACTGGCGGCTCGTTGACGCTGGAAATGTCTCCTCTTCGGGGAGCCTGGCTCACGACAAACATGGGGGAAGAGAGCAGTGAGTTTTACAAGTTGCGTCACAGCGGACAGGACAGAAGTGACACTTAATTCAGGAGAAAGCTTATCGAGGTTTCAGAGGGGATTTTGTGATATTTTTTTGGTCCCTTAAGTATCGTCAAAGAGGAATTGTGTGTGTATAGAATGAAGGGAATCTGCCGGTAGGATTTACTCAGGGGCTCAAATTGACTCAGAACGAGGACACTTTACGTCACTGACCCATCTGTCTTGGTCGTGTGTGTGTCTGTGTGTATATCCCAGTATTAGCGACAGAAAGGCATCGCACAGTTGATTCCTGGAGCCTCCTGCTTAACCAAGAGAGGAGCTTGCCCAAAATACAAAAACACACATATAAATAGAGAAATACATGAAAGAAATAAAACTGCCAAGTTTTTTTTTTAAGTGTTGCACTTCCCTCCTCTGGCACAGATTGTTTCTAAACATATTTTGTACACTATCAAGGATCCATTACCTCTGGTGTCCAGACTTGAGGCCCTTTGACTGCTGTCCAGCTTCCATTTCTTGATCTTGAAGTAGGGACTGGCCCCCTCCAGACTAGCATGGCGCCGCAGTTTAGTGAAGAACTGCAGCACAGGCCCCTGACTTCCTGCCGCATAAGGGGAACCCCTGCTCCTCACCAAGGCCCCTTCTCCAACACTAACACTGCTGCCTCGGCCCCGGGGCCCCGCTCCCATCATCTCGATCTGAGAGACGGAGGGAGAAACGCGTCAGAAAGAAAACCTGCCGTGACTTGTGGTGTGTGTGTAATCCCTTCTGACAGTGAAGTCCCACACAGGCTTCCTTGTTTACCCATCAAACATCACCGCTATTGGTCCTCCCTCGGGCTCCGTGACCCCATAATGTCCCTGTGGATGACTCCCTGGTTGACTGGCTCGAATAGCCGTTTGGTGTACTTTCTTGAGAAAATGCAGCACTCTACAAATTATTAACTCAACACAGTTCATTTTGACCTATGAACTGCATTTTTTCACAACACGAGCGCTAACAGGCGATTTGTATGCAGACTCACTTTTCTTGTTTTAATGACTGACAGAAGGAGATTCACTGTGTGGCCTACTTTTCTAAGACATTTCTTCAACAAAATTGTGACAAGTATTTATTACTTGATGCAATATATGTGACAGTAGTTGGAGGTAACTTACAGAGCTGGTTATTCGCCCTTTGGTGCCGAGAGCGATAGTGTTCTCACTGAAGCTGGTGTTCACCACAGAGTTCAGAGCATCTCCAGGGAGGGCACAGCTGGGATTGACACTCAGGCTGGTCAGCGCAGTTTGTGGTAGGGGGCACAGCATCGGCTGTAGGATACAAAGACAAGGACATTTCACTTTTACTCTTCATGAATACATTCTTGAACCTGCATCTCTTTTACAGAGCTCTAATGTTTTCCCCACTTGTTCAAAATCGGTACTATAAATCTATTCCCATTTTTTTCATGTTTAAGTAAATATAAATATCAAGTTGCGATCCTATCTCCAGCTGTCATCCTTGCACAGATATTCGAACACATAAATGTGAAATCAATGTGCTCAGTCTGTTGTAATGAGAGGGTCTTGATCCCTCTGTTTGGCTACACATGCACCTACATTAGGGTTGATTCATCTTCTTGCCCCGTCCCAAGTGATTGATGTTCAAATTGACCCCAGTCAAGAATAACGATGCATTAGGACTAATAGCAGGTTCGAGGCTGTCACCTGGAAGATGGAAAGTGCCGACTTAGCGACAGGGCGAGTCGTCATGGTGATGCTGTTCTCGGCCGAATCGCACTCGTGGATGGTGACTATCTTGAGGGCGGGGGGAGGGATGTGGAGGTGTGTGAGCCGTGCGTTCTTCAGGTGGTGGAAGTCGCCCTCGGTCAGAGTGTACCTGAGGAGAACAACATAGAGTTAAATTAAAGAGGACATTTTATTCAAATGTTCAGGTTGATATTAGTACTTTGTTACTTTACTGTGACATGTTTACATGCTTTAATGTTCAAAAAGCTCTTTATTTTTCTCATACTGCAGCACCTCTTTTCACCCTCTGTCTGAAACCAGAGCCCAGTCTGCTCTGATTTGTTTGGTGGCCGGCTCTGTTGTGATTGGTCAATTGCTATGAGATGGCCTGCCCCTTACAATAAGTGCATTCAACCATTAAGACAAATCTCAAAAGCAAGAATCCTGCAGGTACATTTCCTATCTATAAGCCCAACCAGATGAAGTGCTACTGCATTAGCTTCACGTAAAGCCAAATCCTTTGTAAGTGCTACATACAGAACATTATTTTTTTAGCAAAGATGCAGTCGAACAGGTGAGTTTTCAGTCTGCGACGGAATGTGTGGAGACTCTCTGTCCTGATACCAATAGGAAGCTCGAATCCATCATTTTGGAGCCAGGATATCAACGACATACAATATGTTTAAGCGCTAGCCGATAGAAGCTCAAGTGTTACATAGTGATATCACTATGTACATTAGTTAACAAAGGAGTCCAATCGAGGCATTTCATGCAGGCATTCACATGCACAGGAAAGAGAACCCCCATAAAAAGCACAATAGGGCCTTTTTAAATCCTCTTAAGATTAGCCATAAGTTGCATGCACTCTCAAGAAGTCTTAAATCATGAAGCTTATCCTTGCATAAGAGGCAAAAAGACACAGGGGGAATATCTGACTTCAGAACGATCAGAGCTAAACTGGATTCTGCATTTAGCAACACTGAATCCCTTTGAAGCATTTGCATATCATGCTCGGGGCTCTATGAGAAAAGCAGGGCAGGGAAATAATGGGAAAGGGTGACAGTTCCTTGTGCCCGTAGCATACATAATGCATTCTGAATTCATTATTAACCCGTTCCTTAACCAGCATATAAGAGAGACGGACACGGTTAAATGTGAAATTATTTGATCTCAGAAAGCAGTGGAGCTGGAGTGAATGGATATTAAAGAAGGTTATACACTGATATAAAAATAGCAAATGTGGGCTTCTGTGTATGTTGGCTTTCTAACCTGCGGCCCTTCTCCTGGGCCTTCTTGCCATGATCGAAGAGCGCAGCCTCATTGAAGGAGACGCGACGGCCCATTGTTCCCGTGGAGAGGAAGCGCTCGGTCTCCTGGTCGTGAAAGCTGGCCATTGACATGCATTCGGACTCATCCACCCTGATGGTGATTTCTACCGGAGAACAAGGGGAAAAAGACAGGGGAGGCAGACGGTTAATTAAATAGAAACACGCGTATAGGAAGATCGAGATGTCATTGTTAGTGTTCAAGACATTATTCTATTTGTATTGTAATGTTCTTAAAGTAAATGTGACTTTTATCAGCTCAACTAGTTCTCTAAGCCAGACCTAAATACCTTAACAGCATTCATGTTACCTAAAGGATGAAGCCTACTGACTGATGATCTCCTGACTTTCCCCAAGCTTCACCAGCAAGTCAACAATTTCATTCATTCAGTGAAATATTTAAACATATTCAAACAGTTCAAGGTTTCACTGGTCAAATTGACTTTTGTTTAAAGCAAAAATAATCAGAGATCTCTGCTTTGTGCTTAGTTCAAGTTAGAAAACGTTCACATGCTTAGGATAATCTAAAATGCTAAACATTACTCATGCTAATGTTAGCACATTAGCAGTAAAGCCTCACATATCTTCTACCATAGATGTACACTCCTACTCTTGTTTAGCTCACATTTTGTAGGTGAACTTCGGACCACATAATAGAAGTTTTAGTTGATATGTGACAGAATTTACAAGACTTATTTGCAGTCTGTCGTAAATGGGCGTTCCATGTGGTGATCAAGGGGTTCAGGTGTTAGGGTTAGTGTTGCATGCCATTCCTCATCACTTTCAACTGTGATATAAGGCATAATATCATACAAGAAAAACAATGTAAGCCCTGTGTCTCTACTGTAGGCTATTTTTATTATATGTACAGCACTTTGGCTCGACCAAAAATCGTTTATAAATGTGCTATATAAATAAAACTTGATTTGATTTACACTGACTATAAGTGAAGCGAAGCCTCTGATGTTTAGACACCTCTGTAGAGAGTGACTGGTAATATGACAAACTGCTGACTAAAATAAATGAAAGAAAAAAGTCTGACAAAAGCAGTTTGGTGCCAAATGGATACTTTCCTTTACTAAATCATTTGTATCTGAGATCTGAGTGCATCTACTGGTCCCAAAATGTGTTCCAGGAGCGGCACAGCTACTTAAACTCATTGGGTTGATATCGCAATATTGTAATGCAATGAACGTTACACTTTGTGCTGACGAGATACAAATATCCCTGCTTCCATCAATCCAATCCCTCAATCTCCATTACTCCTCCCTCTCTCGGTTATTTGCCTTTTTTTTATCTGCTTCCTTATCCCTCCCCCTCCCTTCCTTTCTTCCTCTTTGTCCTTTTTGCTCTTACCATGGGTGGGCAGAGACTCCTCCACGTAGGTGGTGTTGGTTTTCTCAGGGTCATCGCTGGCCCTGGGGCACACAGAAACATTCAGATCAATGCTGTGACATGATCACCACTGAAGTCTGGCTTTCATCTGTCCAACCCGACTGATGTGTGCAGCAGCCACATGTGGGGCCACAGTACAAAGCTTTGTGATCTGCTGCGTTGCTGTGGACATTTCTGTTCAATGATTGAAAATCCAGGCATAAGGACAATAAGTCTACATTTTCACCACGTTGTTTTTCTAAATGGCTGGCTGTATAATCGGGCCTAAATCATTGATAGTAACTTGATAACCTCTTGAACTGATAATGCATGGTGCTGTATTGGATTTTAAAGTTCCATTCATTTTAAGTTGCAGAGAAAAAACACACATTAAAGGTCACATTGTTAAAGGGATGAATAATGCTTCCTTCTTTAAGTATAACCACTCTTTAAACCTCCCAGTGTCAACTTCTTTGTCTCTCAATGGAAGAGTTTTTAATCCCGTACCCAGGAAGTAATTTTTGAGGCATAACAAAAGAAAGCTCTTTACAGACATTTCATCCCATCTGATTTTATTTAGCAGAGCTATGTGTCTGTGCTTGTATTTGTGACTTGAGGGATTTCTCCGTCCACCTCGATCTCTGCTTCTTCTCGTCTCTCATTTCCTCTGTTGCTTCCTCATACTGTGTGTGTATTCTCTCTGTGCACACACCTGGTTCGGTGGAGATGTGGGATTAATCACCGCCGATGGCTGCTATGAAATCTCATTACACTCATCGTTTGTACCGGTCTGCCCGATTCGCCCCTGCTCTCCGCCGGCAAGCCTCGTCTTTTCCCTGCTCAGCCTCTGAGTTTTATCTGCATCTAGTTGGTGTGCACTCATATATTCAAGTGTACTTGATGATGCGTGCTGCTGTAGTGAGGGACAAAGCATCTGGAGGGTAGCTATGTTACTGCTGAATAAACACAGATGAATCACAAATAGATGGGCATAAATATTTAATGTATTTCCAGCAAGGTGTTTTTACAACAGCCCCACAGAGGGTCCTGACACTCTAACAGCTGAGTTGCTTCATGTACTAGATGCAGCCTGTTGTCTTGGTTTAACAGCATCTCTAACTATATAGGGTTGCATCATTTGCTCTACCACTTACTGCAAAACAGCTTGAGATGATTTAATCTGTTTCGTGGATCACTGCTTTGTCTGTTAATGGAATCGTCCTGAAGATGTGTTCGGGATTCACCGTATGGAGCAAAGTGGACAGGAAGTAGTTAGCTTCATTTTAAACTGAATGAGCCCGATCTATTATGCAGGTAAACACATTCAACATAAGTGTCATGCTCTCTATAAATAGCAAATGCATATGAGCTCAGGAAGAGCAGTCTCTGTTGGTCAACTGTGTGTTTTTGTGTGTGTGTGTGTGTGTTTGCAGCACTGTAAAAAAAGCACCACCTGTACGTCCACAAAGGCAGCCTTGTTAAGCAAAGCAGGAATGGTGTGGCTATCTTTATTAGAATGTGCAGAAGCTTTTTTTTTTAATAAGTCCACTGCTCATAGGTCTTCACGGTTTGTTGCTTAGTTTTGATCCTATAACTCTTCACAAGTCACTCTAGTTAAGTGAAATCCTGAATGTTATGGATGTTTTTTTGCATCGTACCTGGTACAGAATTGGCCTCCTCTGCGGCAGGTGATGAGGAGGACAGAGATGAAGATCAACGTTCCTACCAGGAGGATGGACAGGATAACCAGGAGGAGCACGTAGCCATCCTGCTGCTCCTCAGCCTCAAATGGGATCTCCTGAAATACACAGAGGAGGGCAAAATGGATAGTTAGATTATTAGTAACATCTATTCCTTTCCTGTTATGAATAGTCCGCAGTGAAAAGGTCTATATATATATATAGGTCTATGGTACTTTATTGTACTGTACCGACGGACCTGCTAACTGGTATATTTGACTCATTACAGTCGTAGGCAGTGAAAGAGAGGTATAATAATATATTTTATTTCTATAGCGCTTTTCTTGAACCCAAATATGCTTTACAGGTATGTGATGACCTGAGCTGATTGTGTACATTAAATGCGCTGGTTCAGGGACAACCAAACACTTCCCACATAAGCACTCTACCTGCTGAAGCTTTTCGCTGATGCTTACTGCAGCAACTCTCAGTTGTCAAAGGATTATTTTCCAAAAACAGTGTAAAAATGCGACTGCCTCTCAACACAGGGTTTACGGAAAGAGTGGAGCAAACAATTTTTACATTTAACATACTGTGTGTATTTCCTATGTGGGTACTAGAACTAACTTGCTCTCTTTTTAGAAAATAAAAAACACTTCAACACAATACAATAGATAAACAAGCTCTGAATATGCCATTCCTATCGCAACATAGGAAGTGCAGCCAAGACTTAACGACATCACTGTGCAGCTGTTTTACCTTCCCAGTAACACGGTGCAGCTTAAAGGATTGATTTAGCACCACTGGCTGGTTGGCCTGCATAAAGTAAATCTATAAATGCAACAGTGAAATGAATCATTAAAGGCCAATGCTATTAACCTGTCTACAGTGTACCTGAGCTACGGCAAAGCCCTCCCAGGAAGGACAGCAGCTTAGTGAATTAACCACCCAGGGCGCACCGGTAGAGGCTCTATCTTATCTATAGTTATGATTTACAGATAGTTTTTCAAGCATGAACACGTTTCAACAGAGGAGGATATGTTGAAAGCCCTCCCTCTTTATTCATTAGAAAAAACGTTGTACAATCCATGATGTCAGCTCACACAAAAGCAGATGGAAAGACATTTCTGATAAACCCATGATTTTCACCACCTTAATATGATTTTATAAAAAGGAAATTTTTGTCAATATCATTCGGTAGGTAGCATTGTGCCTCCATCTGTACATGTGCATAACATTGAGTCCAAGGTAACATGATTTATGAAGATATAAATCAGTGAATGATAAATAAAAAGGTCAAATTAATTGTATGTATGATGAATGAAAAGTTACACCATACATTTCTCTCTGTCAACTCCGTAATCTTTTTTATTATTTTATTTAGCAGGGTCCACATTTTTAATTACACATTTTTACTTAGTGGTCCAAAATGATGCAGAGTTTATTTGTTTATTAATAAATTGCCCATTTTATGTATTTATTTCAACATTTTACAGTTGAATATTCCTTATTTATTTCATTTTTTAAATGTTTTTCCCAAGTTCCTTGATGCCCATGTATGCTACAGAACAGGTATTTGAATGGTTTAGTTCAGGGGTGTCAAACTCAATTTAATCGCGGGCCACATTCACATAAAGGTTGCACTCAAAGGGCCGGTTTTAACTATATAAATATATAATATATCAAATAATGTATTATATTACATTATTGCCTCTGAATTGGATTAATATCGGATAGGAAAATAACTTAGTAATTAACTACGTCTGAAAGCAGAAGTCCAGGGCAAACAATTGCAAGTCTCTTCAGTGTACCCATGTCACAAAACGAGATGCATTGTGGGACATGTAGTTTATGGGCAACCTGCTTCTGTAAAGTGGCATGTAACCGTATAATAAACGTATTATATTCTTTGCAAGCTCTTGCAGGGCCACATAAAATGAAGTTGCGGGCCGGATTTGGCCCCCGGGCCTTGAGTTTGAGACCCCTGGTTTAGTTGGTCATGAGGCGTGTGTTGCAGTGGGTTGACCGTTGGTGTTCGGATCAGGGGGTCACAGGTTCAAACCCCACTGCAGTCAGCGCATGTCGTTGTGTCCCTGGGCAAGACACTTCACCCCAAATTGCTCCTGTGGGAATTGCCCACAGTATTGAGTATGTAAGTCACTTTGGATAAAAGCGTCTAACAAGTGACATGTAATGTAATGAGTTGGAGGGTAGAGAACAACAGCAGGCCTTTCCCTTTTATTGGAGTAAACAATGTAATCTTTAAATATCATCACGATGACCCTTTAGCGACCCCATAGATGTTATAGTGTTATTCTGAGGACGTACAGCAAGTGTTAATGATCTCTACATTCTGACGTCACATTTGAATTTGTCTGTGAGGGGAAATTAAATTATTAATTATGTCAGGTCCAGGTCAGGATGTTCTCCATTAGCCAGTCAATTGGCCAGAAGAGAATATGAGGGGAAAGTATGGTTCTGGTGGTGAGCTGGACACAACACACACAAACACACAGACAGGAAGTTAGAGAATAAGCCAGTGGCGAAAGGCAGACTTACCGTGGAGTTTTCTGGTAGGATGTTCCAGAAGGTAGACTCATTGCTCATGGTCCAGGCCAACTAGAGAGTCCCCCTGAGAGATAACACATGCACACACACACAAACACACAGAGGAAATGACTGTTACCGGAGCTGTTTTTCAAAACACAAAGTCAGCCACCAGAGACACTGCGATCATCTGTGATAATAAATCCACACATTCACATGTCAACATAAAGCCAAACCTCTGTGAATGTACAGAATAAAGAATGCCTTCCATTATTGATGCCTGGTGTGTGGTATCACACTGTATGAAGTGATTGAAGATGCTCTTTGCTGCAGAAAAATCCTGTTGCATCTAACAGCCATGAAAGACTGCAAGACGAATCAGAAACAAAAACGTATGTACGTACGGCGTGTGCTTGTGCGCATGCTTTGAATCCCACAGAATATATATAAATCGTAGCATCTCAGCTGCAAATCATCACCCATGTAATTCCATATCAGCCTGAAGACTCTCCATCTGCCTCCCACACACACAGAGAAACACAGAACAGAGAAACAGCAGCTCTTATTAAACACTAGCTCCAGCAGTTCCACTAGCGCTGCTGCTGCTATGCGTTTGCTTTTACAGATCATGGCCATTAATACAGCTATTGCTGCAGCAAACGCCATACACACACCCTGGTTAGATCTACTCACCCAGCAGGGTAGTAGATACATGCCAGCAGCACTCAGCACTCCTTGCCTGCTTGCCAGATACTGCAGCACTCAACTTCAGCACCACAACCTGTAAGCTATTGCCGAGCTGTTTGTGGAAAGCCTGTCTAACTCCCTGCATCTAGCGTCCAAGCATGAAAACAGTTACTGGAAACACATCAGGCTGTGACCAGAATGCTTTCCCTTGCAGTACTGTACCACATCCTGCTCTTTTACCAGCCCAGCGTCTTACCCTGATGGAGGGCAGTGCGCAGCAGCAGCTCTGGATGTGTGTGTCAGGAGTCTCTTCCTCAGCTCCCTTGCTGCATCCTCAGTCACCTCAGCCCAAGCAGCACGACTGAGCCTGAGCAGCAGTGATCCCCCTCAGGGCTGGCCCCGGAGCAACAGGACGGCAAAGCTTCATGGCTGATAACAAACATACGGCAGAACGATTGGTTAATTATTCAGTTTGTGTGGATAGGTTTGCATAAGAGCTTGCATTCAACACATGCACTACACAGATCTCTGACAGGCTACTAGTTGAGTAGTGATGATCATGGAAATACTGTTTTTCATTCAAGAGAACATTTTTCTTTGAAGAATTCCTTCAACATTTGGAAAACCAAAAATACCTCACTGTATCATTTTAATGCAATAATATAGCTGATAACAAGTTAGAGATGCCTAACAGTCTTTTACCATTATTCAGTGTTGTAAAGCTTTAGGGAATATAGGAAGAAATGTGTAAGTATGAAAATATAGTCTTGACTTTTTTTTAACATTTCTTACTTCCATGCAATCCCTGAAGATTTCTATATTGATGGTTGGCTGAGCAGATGGTAATATCCCTTCATGCTTCACAACATTTCCGTATATCTATGCCAGCTGCATGACTATACTGGGTATCGTTTTCGCTTTGAGTAGCCTTTTATATTTCGTCCCACTCCCATCATACCCAAAGTACCCCCTGGAACAGAATATGAGTGCTATGGTAATTTGAGACCTTGTAATAACCTGTTTAAAATGAGAAATGCTGCACAATAAACCATGCCGTTTCTTATTTCTCGGTAGTCGATACTGCAATGTGTTTTCCTCCCGGAACAAATAATGAGCTTCGCCTCTGGCAGCTGTTTCCTCATGGAGGTTTGGGTGATACAATCTACTGCGAGAAGACAACATCTCATCACATTACGAGATGAAATGGAGCCGATAGTAAAGTTTAAAAACGGATGAAAAGCAGGTAGCCTACACTCCCAGCAGCGCAGTGAGGTTAATAAAAATGCCATCTTGATATTTCACAGGCGCCTATGATTTCCATCAGTCCGGTGACACCGACAGAGGAGGTAGCACACGGTTTGAATTGGCTGCACAAACACACACACGAGCAGGCATGAAGCAGGGGAAGCACTCACCTAAACAACCGACCGGGTTCATACAGGGGTGGAGGGCCAAAGCCAATAACGCGGAACTCTTCTGTGGACACTTTAATGTGGATTTTAAAGCTAAAAGTATTTATGAATGAAACCCCACTGCTTAAGACACACCCACCACCCCAGTCAGAGGAGCACCACGTGACGCAAGGAGAGGTAGAGCTGAGTGATGAAGGGCTTCTCCAAATTAGCCTCATGCTCAGTCAGTCACAGACAGGGTGGCTGGTTCAGGGGCGTAAGGGTGTCTCACGAATGTAAACTATGATTACAATACTATATTATTTGTGTATTTTACAGTCACTCTTGCAGAAGTGGGAAACATAGTAAAGCAGTTCATACAGTGTCTATCTGTATGTAGGTTTATTTATTTTTTAACGCCATACAAGTTTTCTCTCGTCCATGCAGTGGCATACAAAAGAGAAACCATAACTTGTTCCAATATCAAAGTATTAGATCACTATCTGTTGCCTATCTTGTATAATAACACGTGGGGTTAGCGCCATCTCCTGGTGTAAATTGTGCACTAGCTTATTAAACGAAGAAACAGTAAATGTGGTAAGAGTAGTTTGGCCAAATACATTACCCTTCCCAATGTTTCCAGACGACGGTCTTCCTCAAATGTTGGTTACTAAACGTTTTTCGATGTAAACCAAGAAATGATTGAAACCGAAACTGTTTTGTGTTTGTGCTACTCTGCAGTTCCTGAAGCCTAGTTTATCTGGAGAATAAAACAGTACTTACTTGTTTTTAATATGCTGCTAACCATATCATAAATGGCCGTCTAAACTCGAGTAGCTTCATACTATAGCTAAACTCACAAACTCATCCAAAATAACTAACCTCAGCCTGACCTTTCAAAGACTTCACTACCCTGCATCCTTTGCGCACACTGCAAAGCCTTATGGGTAGGTTACGAACGTCCTTGTCCTACCAAGCTCACACCGACTGGCTTCACGCAAGAGGATCTCTGTCATTCAGTTGAACTTGATTAAAATCCCGTTTTCAGACATGATGGCAGCACGAATTCTCCGCCGGGCTCTCCCCGTGGTGAGGCAGGCTCGCTCCTACGCCGATGTGGTTTCCACTGGCCCGCAGATGTCCTTCACTTTCGCCTCCCCGACAAAGGTAACGGCGAGGTTCCACAGGCCCTGCTAGCTACACGGCTAACTTAGTTTCACGTTGAATTGCTCCACAGTAACGTGTGAATAGGCAATGTTGTACTAATGTGTAGGGTTGTAATCATTGTTAGTATGCATGGTGTACTTCGTCTGGCATGCATGCAGACAACAGGAGCGTGCACTGTTGGTAGAGGGTTTAGCATAGCTCGCTAATGATAGCATACATAGCTGTCATTCACAGTCTTTGACCAGCAGTGTGACAAAGTAACGTTATACTTTGCGAAAAGGATACCACGCGTTTCTATAAGCTAACAGGGGATATATGTCTTTATGTTTGTCATTTTATTGTCTTAACTTTATATGACATCCATTGTGAAACCACCACTCAGCAAGAGAGGTAAATGCTGTCTAACCTTGAGATGCATTTCACATTTCTGAATTCAATCCACTGTTCCTGCAGTTTTACACATGGTTTCATGTCTAGCTTTCATTCTGCTGCGGGTCTAATTCATTCAGTCCAATCAAAAACAAACCTTTACTATCCTTCAAAATGTATGCATCATCATGTTGCATTAAAATGACTATGGATGTATCATATTACAATGGCTATTGATATGCTCTGTTCCATTTCTAATTCTGCAGTGTCCAGTCTTGACAGCTGCATATTTGATCAGACACTGATTTCAACCATTGCAGTGAACTCTATAAATGAATTGATGTCTCATCCTCTGTCTCCACTCTACAGGTGTTTTTCCAAGAAGCCAGTGTGAAACAGGTCGACGTGCCCACACTCAACGGTGTGTTCGGTATCCTTCCTGCCCACGTACCCACCCTGCAGGTGCTCCGGCCCGGCGTCGTCACAATCTTCAATGATGACGGTTCTGCTACCAAATACTTCGGTAAGATTTTACTTTCCAGCACCCAAAGAGTCCTTAACCTAATTTCTAATCTCCTGCTGGTAACATTTCTATATGTCTCTAAACACTGACCTCTATGTGTAGGAAAACAGCAAGCAACAATGCTTTGTTTTTTTACACTTAACCAAAAAGTAAACGCAAGAATAAATATCTATTGGATGCTTACAGTAGTAGATGTATGTACGCATGATTATGTTTACCTCTATGACTCTTTTTTAATTGTTTAAGTCATTAAAGGTCTAAATGATGTCAGTCATAATCAAGAGAAGCTTGTGTACTACTACTTGAACACAAAACCCCACAACTATCAGACTAGACCACACATTTAGAAATACAAATGTTTATTAATTATCCGTCTGAAAGGTGGAAACATAAGTGGTCTTCACTGTATGCAAAGCTAAGTTACTTTCAGCTGATTCTGATAGTAAATAACTCTTCCGATTCACCTGGATATGACAGTTTCTGTGTTTCAGACTCATGGATGCTGTTTTTAGGAAATGCTAACAAAAAAATAAAATGTATCTTTATTAAAATCTTGGGTTCTTCCATTTTATATGCGTCAAGGGTTAGATTAAAGAAACCCTTGAGGAGAAAATACAATGTGGAACTGAAGCAAGCCGGAGAATTAGGCAGGATTGGCTTTAAAAACACTGAAGATGACTGTATCAATCAATCAATCAATCAATGTTTCTTTATATAGCCCAATATCACAAATGTTACATTTGTCTCAGTGGTCTTCACAGTTTGTACAGAATATCAGTATGACAATACGACACCCTCTGTCCTTAGACCCTCACATCGTACAAGGAAACACTTCTGGAGAAAACCCAAAGTTTAAAAGGAAAAATGGGAGAAACCTCAGGGAGAGCAACAGAGGAGGGATCCCTCTCCCAGGACGGACAGACGTGCAATAGATGCCGTGTGTAAATTGAAAAGATAATACATTTGCAACATAGGTAGTCCAAATGTTTGGAAATGCATGTGTGTATAATAGGAAGATGAATCCACTAGGATATCCATCCAGGACTTATGATCCAGGACCACAGCCACGACTCAAGATCCTGGGCTCGCGATCCAGGACACAGGACCGCAGGATCATCCGTGACTCCGGATCCCGGCGTATATAGACACCAAAAAGAAAGACATTTGGGGAAGCTGGGTTAATCGGAACATGAGAGTACACAGGTATAGACAGAGAGAAGGAAGAAGTAAGATGTCCCCCGACAAACTAAGCCTATATCAGCAAAACTAGGGCTGAATCTAATCAGCCCTAACTATAAGCTTTATCAAAAAGGAAGGTCTTAAGCGCACTCTTAAAAACGGATAGGGTATCTGCCGCCCGAACACAAACTGGAAGCTGATTCCACAAATATGGAGCTTGATAAGAAAAGGCTCTGTTGGCATGTGTAGTAACACTGGTGTGTGTGTGTGTTCTCAGTGAGCAGTGGGTCAATAACAGTCAACGCTGATTCTTCAGTGCAACTGCTTGTGGAGGAGGCTGCTACTTTGGACCAGCTGGACATTGATGTGAGTATAATGTCAACCCCACTTTACTCGCATGTATACTAGAGCAGCAACTGCGCTTATAACGGGCAGTATGACCATATAATCATATGATAAATATAATTTCTTGAGCATATTTAACCATATGTTTATACTAAAGGATTTTATTCAGTTCACTAGCCAGAACGCATTTAAACTACCAACACTTTTCAATTTTCAATTCTAGATTTGTACTATATTGAAATCTATTTAATTATAAAAATCCTAATCTTAAATTCTACATATTCTAACAAATGTTTTTCATATCTTTGCAACTTTCATTTATTCAGCCGTCATGAGCTTATTTTTCGATATATATATTTTTTAAATGTCTACATGGTTAACCTGGGGGGAAATCACATGTTCAAAGGCAATCTAATGTCTATGACATGACATGTTATCCAATATGGTATTTTGCAATGTTTATACACAATGAAAGTTTTAATATCGGTATTGATCATAGTATGAACTGTGTAATGAGTTATAATATTCTAATACCTTTTTTTAAGGAGGTAGCCATAATTGCTAGGATCTATATTTGTATGAACACAGCATTTGCATTTGAGGACTGATTCAGAATATCACAAGGAAGCCTTCATAAAAAGCAAGACCGGTCTTTGGTAGTCATTTATTCAAACCTTAACAGGGTGTTTTTCTAGCATTATTGCCAGTACAATATGTAATTTGTTGAACCCTTTTTTTGGGAAACCAATTTAACTTATTTCCTTTGGCCTGTTGTTTTTAAATTATAAACCATTTAATACATTGTGGTTAGATCCAGGCCGTCCATTTTTCCATGTTCTGTTTAAAGTAATATTTTGAATTGCCTTTTCTCTCTTAACTTTTGCTTTACAAAACCAGCAGAGACAGAGCAGCAATTACCTTTGTACCTGTGGTGTCCTTGATTGTTTTTAATCAGCTCTTTTGTTCTGCAATTAGCTCTCAGATTTGATTTCACCGTAAAGTGGGCAAGGCAAAAGAATGAGTTTCTTTCTTGATATTATTAGGTTGGTGTATATATATGTATGTTTTTTTTTGTCTGGCACCTTTTAATAGCACAACATCAGAAAACCTACAAAAAGTACATATTTTATTCAGAGTTCCCGTTAGCCGGTAATTACCGGACTAAGACCGGCAAATCTAAATCTCTCCGGTCAAAGTGTCCGTTCAAAAATAATTTTCGTTTAGCGCAATACCACATCAGTTGCGCCATTTGCGCCATTTATGTGACAGACAAGAAGAGTCAATTCCAATGTCTAACCTGTATCTAACACCTAATGTGGAGAAAGAGATGTCCTGTGTGGGTTGATTGTGCGATGATCTGTTGGTAATGCCTCGGGGTTCCGGTGGGCATGTAAACAAATGCATAATGCTGCACTATACTTTGTGGCCTCACCCGGTTGCATAGCGACGCTTATTGTTTAGGTGTCTTTTAATAAGCAGGTAGTTATATCATTAGCTAGAACTAGCTGGATCTGATCGATATGGACATAAACGCGAGTGAAGTCTAATCTGACGGGAGAGAGAGATCAGCTGCTGCTGACGAGTCGACACGCAGCTCTGCATGATCACATGCAGTGGTGAGCGGACAAAACACACACTTCAGGTTAG